TCCCCGGAATGAACAAACACCATCGGTCACACTCTCGGCCAGAGTAGCATTAAAGCTAGCGAGCTAGCTAACAAACCAGCTGTCTAGTTTCATCTGATGGCTGATAAATATTTACTGACATGAAGAGTTTTAACACCTCCTGTTTCCATGTTAATGTTTTTATCAGTGAACTACTAGTCACAGTCACGTGATCACGGCTTCACTACGCAGAGTATAAGCTACGCTCTGCAGTTGCTCCCGCCTCCTTTGAGTTTACTTTCTTTCAAAGGGAATACCAGACTTTCTCCTTTACACCTTGAGGAAGCCAGTTGTGAAACCTCAAGGACCACCGCTGCAGGTTTGTCCGTGCGCCACCGTCACGTCTGCTGGTGTACGAGAGGCCTGGACTTCATGTTTGAAGTGGCCTCGCTCTGATGTTGGCAGCCTTGGAAGTGAAGGGGCCGAGCCTTAAGTGAGACGGATGAGAGGACTCAAACTCACTCAAAGTAGCAGAAGGTCGGGTAGCCTTTGACGTTGTACTCCTGCTTGAGGCCATCAAACTCAGCCGGGTGCACATTCATCCCCGCCAGTACCTGAAAGCAAATGAATACAATAAATGAATAAAAAGCAAAATGAGCCGTGGGTTAGGAAAGAGAGGGCAGCAGAAGGAGAAGATGAAACATGGAAACAGGTTAGTCGTCATCAGAGGGCTTCGGGTTATAAAGATGGATGACAAGAAGAATAAAAAGAGACGGCTCTGTGAATCAATGTAGACCTTTTTAATAACAAACTTTTATCTAGGTGTAGACATTTAATGAACTTAGACAATTTAAATAGTAAAGTTATTCATTCAGCATCAGGAGTAAGAACCTATAGACGAACGAGCAGCCGTGAGAAGAGGGAAGCACAACGCTACCGTTAGCATGATAACGTGTCAACGTCGGCAATAAATCTACAGGAAACGACTCTCCACATTCATCTGAGAGACTAGATGTAGAAGCTGAGACGTGTTGTACAACCTGACAGACAAACTATTTAAATAGTTCTCCGGAGCACTATTAGTCTCTGACAACATATCTCAGCCTCACACACACACTCCTCTCTGATCTGCACAGAGAGCGTGTGTGATCCTGGTAATTACATCTTCACTACTTATAGAGCATGTTTGATAATCAAACAAACATGCAGTTAATGGTCTTTTAATCCTTCCCTGCTGATCTGCTTCCCTGTCTCCTCAGGCAGCTGCCTCCCTCACATTCTTCTTCTGTTTATGAGCACAAAGTGTTTGTTCCCCTCTAGCCCATCACACATGCCCGTGGTTGCGTTTTGTTCATGCATCTCTGGAAGAAAAGCACATTACAGCAGCTGAGAGCAGAGCTCCTCGGTGTTGTAAATGCTGCTCGTCTGCGAGCTGACAACGTGGGTCTTTAGGGGACCCGAGAGACCAGAGAGGAGAAGAAAACAGGATGAAAAGAGGAGAAAAGAAGGAGAGCTAGGAGGTAAACACAAAGAGTGGACAGGCTGAAGTGACATTTAATCCATACAGAGGGTGTAAACTTCAGCTGGAACCACATTAGGCCTTAATTGTTGCTACAGGTGTCAGCTGAGAACCACCTAAGAAACACATTATATACAAAGTAATGTCATACCTGTACAATAACATGAAGCTCTGGAATCATTAAAATAATAGACTTGTGGCATGATGCTGTAATATCTCCGGTGGGTCGATGCAAACCAAAAACACAGAAAGTGTAAATCAAGTCCAGCAGAGACGGGATCAGGGTCTCTAAGTTACCTTTAAATGCCAACTGTGTTATTATCCTGCTATCTATCATGCAAAGGTTGCTGAGGTTTAGCAGCAAATAAATAAATAAATAT